CGATATCTGCACTATCACAAATACTTTTGCTCTACTAGCAGACTACACAAAGACTTAAACGCCTCGTATTTTACGTTAAACACTAAGTTGGAGAATTCACTTTATTTCACGATATACTGCATTTATATACTACTCAATAGTTCATGAGTCATAGTTAATACAATTAACATTGGAATCATTTACTGAATTAGATATTAATTTTAGCTACTGCTCCCTTAATGCAGACAGCAGTATTTATGAACATAGACATGTAATGACTAATACAGAATAGTCAGATTACGATATGTCCTTTCACGGAACATTTCCATGATAATTTACAGTCTACCATAAGTAAATTACAATCACAATAATTGGAACTGTAAGTAGATGATTTGCATTCCTTATTATAACTATTAATTTCAGTATGTGTATAAGTGTCACTGTCATAAAAAGTCAGTGCTATATTAAAATACAGTATATCCAAATTATAAGTTAACTAAATAAGGATAGTCTAACAGAATTATCCTAACATAGTTATTTCTACTGTAATACAGTATTTAACACTGAAACAGCGAGTCTCCAAGATCTGTATTGATAAATATTGATTGACATTTAGAAATTTGATAAGTTATACTGTTCTCGTGACAAGTTATAATGCATTTTTAATTGTACGTAATTGCGATTCAAGCTACTAATATCAATAATCCTATACGTTACTATGATGCTGTATATCAGAAATCAACTTCTGTCCAATCTGATTCATTCATCTTAAATCATAAGCCTTTAAGTAAATGGATTTAATGATAAATACATAGGTATTTGAATTAATCAGATTTTTATTCGAATCCTAATTTTTACAGCATTAAATTTACAATTAGTAGTAGTCTATCAAAAGATTAGGCAAGAACTAAAGCATCCAATCCAAGACTCTTAGAAATTAATTAGCGAATGCCTATAGTATTCTAATAAAAAATTTTGTGCACTTATCTGTTAGTATTAACTGTTAATACTAAAGGTATCATTTTAAAGATACAAAGCATTGTAAAAATGTTTATTAAACGATACCAATAATGCCGGTATCTTCTAAAAAATAAGAATCACAAAGTTTCTCTATCAAATTTAGCCGAATCTAATGCTTTTATTAAGAACGTACTTTTGCTGCGTTATACCAATGTAAAGATTAAAATTGCGCTGGTTATGTTCGAGTAAATTAGTTAGGTTAACGTTGTTCATATGATTTCCAATTTAGACGTATTGAACATCAGTATAGCACTTCTTTTAAAGTGAACAGTAAAGTCATTATAGTTAATTTAACGTTAGGCACTTTACCTGATAATTTTATTGTAAGTTTTTACCCAAAGTTCAATTGTAATGCTCTCTCTGTAGCACATGACCAATCATACTAACATGGTAATCTAATTCAATTCTTCGTTAAGGCAATTATCTTCCTTGATTACAGCACGATAACAATTAGAGAATTCTTAAAATACTCTATATTATGCTAATTATGATAAAATTCAGCAGTTACAACATAAAAAATAGGGTTTTTATCCTAAGTATAGCTGAATTCATCATCTACATATTTACATTTTGGTCTCCTTTATGTACTTACTGAAAAGAGCTGTAATAAAAAGTGGTCCTTTATTACTAATATGTGAGGTTAAATGATATAATTGATCCAGGCTCTGTTTCTATATTCACCGGATTATATACAGTATTTTTTTAACATGTATTCATCTATTTCAGTTTAAAATGAGGACTTAAAAATACCATTGGATATCTAAAAGTGCTAATAATAGCGTGATTACTATAAATAAATCTAGTTTTGATACATAAAATTGAGATATTTACTTGAAAATTGCGACGCCAAAAAATACCTTACATCATATCTTATTGAACAGAAGCTATACTCCTTATGACATTCGTACATCAATTACTAGAATGGAATTCAATGATCGGTTAATTTATTTTAATCTACAATTTCTAGACTAAGGAGGTGGAGGTTTAAATTACGATTATTTTTTAATTTTTACCAAATTTCCTATCTTTATCTATTCGATAATACAATTATGGGTTATAGAAATTGATATCAATGAATGCATTTATGAATCACTTGAGGTAATCATAATTAAGACAGCGCCAGTTCTTGTAGTTCAGATTGTAAGTATATATTATAAATAAGGAGATTAATCGAATTTTCTATTGTTACTCTATATGATACCTGTTTTAGTAACATAATACAAATTCTTACCAAACTAAAAAATTAAGCAATTTTGTTGAATTGCATAAGTTTTTACATAATTAGATATTGATCGTGGGCTAAATTAAATGGAATTCATCTTTGATGATAGTTATTATGAGTGCCCGATAAATCAAATTTGAAAAGTGTTAATAATTAGAACTTTAAATAATTAAAATTTTGTAAACTATTATATTACATAGTTAAATGTGTGATGATTGAGTGAAAGCAATAGCGCTGAATTATGTCAGAAGCAGTATTTTTATATTATCAAGCTTGGCCCTTAATTGTGATAACTATATTGATGTCTATATTACGATAGGTTGTGGACATTTCAATCGGTGCATTTTGTATTAGAACATAATTTGTATAGTTAGAATATTAAAAAGTAAGATATTAGGGTAGAGATCATGCTATTCTAAGAATTGTTACTAATATTATCGTCGGTTTAGTTTACAGTAACAAAAGCTAATTAATATATTCACTGTTTCTGTTCGATGTTTTCGACATCTGTCATCTTCTATTGAAAGTAATGAATGCTTCTTTATAAATTTAATGATTATCAATTGCTGTTACTCTAGTATCCTAGTGAACACTTAAGAATCAAATTGAATCAATATTAGATCGATAAAGTCTGGACATTAAAAATATCAAGAACAGCGATTGAATATAAGAATTGCGAAGAAGTTAATTCGAAGTTTACATCGTTATTAAAATTTTTCGTTCTTTAATTCTATTCTCGATCCTCAATTTTATGTATGTTAAGAAGAAAATCCCCATAAAAATATAACTAATTTAGCAGGTATAGTAACGTTTATATTTGAAATCATATCCTAAGTAACGATGATTTAAAAATTTTTTTTGGAAAACTTAGTAGATTTCGTTATTGAAGAAAGGATGAAATTATTTCTTAAAAGTACCACTTTCCATTATTGCAGTATTAGAATTTTTCAAGTTAAGATAGATTCTGAATTGCTATATTTATAGCTACTTGACGGTTAAATTGTTTGGTATTCTAGTCGAAAAAGAATAGAAGCTGTAAATCCTTTCGTCAGTTACTTTAAACTAGTTGCTTCTACATCTTATATCCCTACGCCAGAGTGTAAAGATGATGAAGCGGATGATCAATTTTTCGCTAATAAATAAAAGTTACAGTGCTAACCCTTAACTATAATTCATTGTTGTACACTCTATAACAAATGTTATATTACGGATCTTTATAATTAGATATTAGTAAGATGAATTAGAAGCAAAGATCAAATTTCTTTTCTGATACCCTGCTAAAGTTGTAAAAAGTATTTATTACAATTTATAAATGATATCGCCTATCAAAAAATGATAAAATTAGCCTTACATTGATTTATGTGCTTACTCATCCACACTGTCACGGATAGCACTGCTAACCTAGTTAATAATAGATTCATCACTAACTTGCTATATCGCTTTTCTTCTCTAATTAATCTTGGCATCATAGTTCATAGCCCGTAGACTTCCAAATTATCTATTTATTTATTTCTTCAGAAATAACGCGTTATTAATGGATAGTCATTGTCTGCCTAAAAATGTCACATTAATTCGTCAACTATCGGCAAATAATTTCATACTTGATATATCATAGTATGATATCTCCCGCTAGCATCGTTCATGTTGATCACGACTATCGATAAATATACTGTAGTACTAACTGATAGAAATTATACTAGAGCTATCGAAGCATATTGTAATGAAATGAAAAGTGTAGAGATCAAGCTACAAAACTTTAACAAACTTTGATTCTACTTTCGTTGCACTCCGGTCGACTTAACGCTAATACTTTGACACCAAATAAAATTTGGGGAAATAACCGAACAACAATTTATTTCAAAGCAAAAATGGAGAGAAGTATAAACCGAACAACCTTACAAATACTTAGCTTTAAGTATTATTAAAATAAATGACATACAAAAAAAAAACTGTCAACGACCAAACAACCTTTCAAAAAGAAGAACGTTTTAACTTACGACAATTCGACCCCGAAGGCCTTTTCAAATTCAACAAGTTCTTCGAATAAAGTCTTTTTCTACTCTCTCTCTAAATTTTCTAATTGCACTATCATTTATAGGCTTCATAGAGCCGTCTGAGGTATTTAAAACTAAACATTTGCTAACCAATCGCTCTTAAGATCCGTTTTAGAAAACTACTTTGCACCATTTAAGAAAACAAAATCATTCAAAGTTCAGACACAATTTACCCTAACGATTCCCTACAAAAC